ATATTGAGGATTGTGAAACAGTGGGTTAAAGACGGCGCCCGGGGAACAATCCAGGTGAACCGTGTGCCAGACAAATTGATCACCTATTGGACCCAATTTAGCTTGATGAAAGTGGATGAAAGCGGACTCTTGAAGAGAAAGTGGGTTTCAAGAAAAGAGAAAGATTCGAGAGAGTTAATCGTGATACCAGACAGCTATGAAGAGGAGATCATGAGACTGTTTCACGACAACATCACCAACTGTCATCCGGGAATCAGCACCTGTGTGGAGAAATGCACCTGGAGTACTTCTACTGGCCAAAGATGGAGCAGGACTCCAAAATGTACATCAAAGCGTGCATAAGATGCGGAGAGATGAAGCAGCCGAAAGCTTATCTGAAAGCACCGTTAAAGCATTTATTCTTCCACCATTTCAATGACGCTATTGTAATTGATCACATAGTACCGACAGCAAATCAGAGAACACCCCGAGGATATCGATACATCCTTACTATCTCTGATGCCTGGTCAAACTATCTGGTAGCAGTTCCAGTCAAGAGTCAAACTGCTAAGGAGAATATAGCAGCAATAATGAAGAACTGGGTATTAAAGTTCGGAATGTGTCGGGAGTTAATTGTGGATAATCACCCCGGGTTCAGAGCAGAATTCTTCAAGGAAGTTTGGGAGTTTTTCGAGTGCAAGAAAACTCACGGAACATCGTATAAAGCGTCTAGCACGGCCCGTGCTGAGAGCAACAACAAGAGAACAAATCGAGCGTTGCGTGCATGCATTCCTAGGGGAAAGGAGAACTGTTGGGATATGTACCTGGACAAGAGTACATTTGCCTTGAACTGTTTGAAGAACCGGAGAACTGGGTATTCTGCTCACAAGATGATATTTGGCAGAGAGGTCAACTTGCCGTTGAATCTGATGTTAGATGATAGAGAAAAGCATCAGCCAGATACGAGGAACGCCGCTGCCAGGGAGGCGTACGAGCTTCACAGAGAAATGAAGAGAATCATCAGGAGAGTGAGAGAGAGTGCGAATGTAGATTTCATGTATGCACAGAGGCAACATGATCGAAACCTGCATGGTCCTTACTTTAAGGAGAACGACTTTTGTTTCGTGTTAGTGCAATGTCCTAAACACAAGTTTGCTCCGCGATTTAGGGGTCCATGTAGAGTGAAGAAGGTTTTAAATGATCACTTGTATGTGGTGGAGTACGGACCTGGGTTGGAGAGGGTCACGAACATTTGCAAAATGAAGCACTACGAGATGAACAGATTCTCGGAGAAAAGAGTAGTAATTCGTGATGGCAGTAGCAACACTGCGGAGCCTAAGAGGAGAGATACGGTGAAAAGTGATAGTGATGATAGTGATAGCAGTAGTGACGAGGAGTTGTGGATGCCTGAGCAAGTAGAGAGAAGGGATCCTGTGATTCGAGAGAGCACTGTATCTAATCAGAGAATTGAAATTCCTGACGAACCTCTGTCACCTGAGTACACACTTCCGTTCAGAACGGAAAGTCAGGACATTTCAATCCAACATGACCCTCAGACACCAGCTAGGGTTAACACTCCTATTCATATTTCATCACCTATCCAGGAGACAGAATCGAGTTTTGGATCTTTCCACACACCCGGGTGGAGCAGAGGGGTTGAGGAACCTACATCCCGGATGGAGGATAGTTTGAGTCCTGTCATACTGGGGGAGAGTAACAGTACACTAGCTTACTCACCTGAGGAACAGAGTACACCTGTAGTCAGTGGAGGACGTTCTCTAAGAAATAGAGCAATATTAAAGAAGCCGGATTACTACAGACCGGTATCGAGAATTAGTGTTGTGTTGAATGGTGATAAAGGACGGTGTACTTGGATTTAGAGAATTGCTGGTCACGGGATGCCAGTGAACTGCCTGTTGCTCGGGCAGATACGACGATTGTTGTCATGTTTTGCAGACTACCTGGAACCTGTGGAAGGTGGTCATCGTTGCATTTCTTATCTCCCGCCGTGCTTAGGGTATGCCTGGTGTCCTTGATATCAGTTGATATTGTTAGTGATGTCTGGGTTTTATTTTGAAGGGCTTGCTACCCTGGAGAGTGGAGAGTTTGCGAGAGGTGGAGTTAGTTGTTGAACCGTGGAGTAGAGTAGAGTGTAGAGGTTGAGTCACATTTTAATCCGGTCGAGCATCGCTCCTGATGCCTTGATTTGCCTTTAGTTGACTTTTGATATTCGTGTGCCGATAAGGTCTTAATCTAGATGATTGGTCTTCATATCTATAAATATGACGGTCTGCAGTGACTTATGTGAAGTTATGTTCGTAACTAGGTGTACGGAGATAATTGTGTAAGTTATGTTCGTGACTAGGTGTACGGAAATAATGGTGTAAGTTATGTTCGTAACTAGGTGTACGGAGATAATTGTGTAAGTTATGTTCGTAACTAGGTGTACGGAGATAATTATGCAAGTTATGTTCGGGACTAGGTCTGCAGTGACTTATGTGAAGTTATGTTCGTAACTAGGTGTACGGAGATAATTGTGTAAGTTATGTTCGTAACTAGGTGTACGGAGATAATTGTGTAAGTTATGTTCGTAACTAGGTGTACGGAGATAATTGTGTAAGTTATGTTCGTAACTAGGTGTACGGAAATAATGGTGTAAGTGTAGGTTCGTGCCTAGATGTACGGTACCTGGATTAGGAGTATGGTTGTGGAGGACGTGTTCAACAACTGGTGGTGTGGACAGAGACGGTGGATGGTAGACGGTGCTACGACTTCGACAGAACAGCAGAAGAAGTAAGGGAAGTAGGAGGGACAGTTTAGGAGAAGGACAGTTAGTAGGGTAGCAAGTTTTGTAAATATTTTGAAGTAGTTGAAGTTTGTAACGTGAAGTGTATCACGTTAGTTTTTATAATTAATTTGTATTGTGTCACGTGAGATTTCACGTGTAGTTTTAATTATTCAGATTTGGTACGTGATGGTACACGTATTTTTTAAAATTTTATATTTTTGTAGCACGTGTAAATTTTTTAAAGGGTAGTTTTTTCGCGTGAGTTGCATCACGGGGATTTTGTTGGTATTTTTATTTTTAGGGTGTTGTTTAAGAGGGAGTTGTAGGATTTTTTTTAAGGATTTAGTAGGTAGGGGGGGATTTAGTCGAATTTGTCAATACCTCTTGGAGATATTGACGAAATCGATTAAATTTTCCCGGGGGATATAGTGTAATATGTAGGCTGTTTGCAGCAGTTTTAGAGTAGTTTTAGCAGTTGTGTAGATTGTAATTTAGTGATTAATATGACCGTTAGTAATGAGTGTAGATTTAGGTAGTTAAGTGACCACGTGGTATCACGTGGCGCGTGTCGATAACGCATTTCTGGACACGTTAGGATTAGTTCTGGAAAAGCTCTTTAGGTGACGTGTTTAATCAAAGTGTTAACCGCTGATCTAGAACGCCCAACGTGGCCCGTCTTGCCACAGTTTAAGTTGTGATTGTTGATAATATCTTTATATTCATCATTCGAACGTTATTACTCGATTCAACTGTTTCCTTTGTTCAACTCTAGCTTAGGACCGAATTGTAGCATTTGAACCGTTTGATTCACAGTACCGCACTTAGTTGCATGTATGTAGTAGTCATATCAGAGTAATTGGCAATACAAGTTATCGTGATTGTCGTATTAACGTAGAGTTCAATACTTAGTTATTGTGAGTTATTGCAGTTGTCAGTCGCTACAACGACTGAGAGTATAGTGTGTAGTGAGAGACTTGTGAGCAGGCATTGTTTACCATTGGTACGCCTCGGGAGGACTGGTCTGGTGCCACCTTATTTTACACTAATCGCATCTACAGGTTCCATGTATTGTCTTATAAATTTTGAGTTGTCTTTTTGAGATAGGGTGAATAAAAATGAGTTCACTAGAAGATTATCTAATTTTCGATTGTTCTTTGAGGAAAACCCAAACCTTGTATTCTTCATGTACCTACACTCTTCAAATACAAAGAGTTTAGACTGATAGTCTGCTGTTTCGTCAATCTGCTTCTTGAACCATTGCCGACACGCCTTAACAAGCCAAGTCACATTAAAGACAGCTGATAGTCTGTGAAGTTCCCTGAATACCGACACCGTGATATCAATCATAGTCTTATCTTGAAGAAGGTAAAAGAAATTAGTCACAGTTTGTGGCGTGAAGTCCTCCATTTCGATCTCAGTGAGGCCCAGTTCCTCTATAAGATAATAGAACACGGTGCTCTGTGTGGTGAGATGTGTACTGTTAACTAGGAGGGGAACACTGTCTCTTAGCCATATCACCACTGTGGTATCTTTCATCGCTTAGCAAAACTCGACGCAATCAGTTGGCAAGATATGAACTTTGAAAACTAATGGTGCTTTATTTGTTAGGGTTAGACCAACAAATGTCAGAAAAATAAAACGAATCGGACAAGCAGATATTCTGGCTGAATACTGAACCAAAGTCTAGGCACGTGTTTATGTTTTATCAAACGTAATCTGACACTAATAAAAGCTTTCCACATTTCTACAGTTCACCTTGAAAATATATATAATGCTTCAAATTCTTTTAAAAATTATATCAAATATATTCATAATTGGTATCATGTACCTTTTGTCGATGCTGTGAGTTCCAAATGTCCTCCTTGCTATCTCTGACGCATCACCAAATTTTGCTACCTGAAGGGGGCCGAAATCCGAAGCCGTAAAGTCTTGTGTACCTGACACAAAGTAGCTGATATAAAGTCAGGTACTGTTGACATCATTCTTGCTGCCTTCACAATTCATCCAAACATAGATTAAAGAAGATAATATAACAGAGATAAGATACAAGAGAACTCTTTTATCGCAAACGAATGAGCTACAAATTTGTGAAAAAGTGAACAATACATTAATCTTATATTTACTATTTTCGATTTGGTCTTCGTAGTTCTATTTGGTCTTCGTAGTTCGTACCAAATGAGGTGGTTTTTGATCAGCACACTGTTTAATAAAGTAATAAGACTTTTTCTTTCAGTATCGCTGGGTACGACTCAGAGGGACAACTGGTTGATATAACCGACGAGCAGAAAACTGAAGCTATTGATCAGATACGAGAATGCTTGTTTGAAGGTTGGATATGCTTGCGGTGCCAGTGGTTTTTGTGACAAATTTTCAAACAAAATAGCATAATAACTTGTAAATAAAATAAGTGGTCTAATTCTATCCCTGAATAGCGCATTGGAGTATTATATAATATTTCTTTGATGTGGATATATTAACCATATTCTTGAAAGCAATTTGCCATCTTCCTAAACATTGATAGTGTATAAAAGCCAGCAAGTTTTGAACATCTCAAATACAATAATTTCAACAATTCTGTACTCTTTAGGTCAGCGTAAAGAAGCTCTAGAAGTATCCGTGAAATATCAGCTGTGGTCTCTGGCCCTGATGATCTCCACGACCCTGTCCTCGGAGATCCAGTCTGACACGATGCAGCGGTTCTCCAACTCCCTTCACGTGGACGAGCCACTGAAGAGTTTCTCTCAGTTGATATCCAGCGTGGAACCCAGCTCTTGTTCTAGTAGCAGTCGGTGGAGACAGCATTTGGCTATGATTCTTAGTAATCAGAGTGATAAATACGATCCTAACTTTAATTATGTGCTGTCTCTTGCTAATACGCTGGGTGAGTTTCAAGTTTTTGTAATCGATTGTTTCCCTTTAATTTTATTATTGTGCTTGACATTAATTTAAGTGATACTAATTGAAATTATGTTTTATGCAATTTAGTTGTGGTGACCGTTTCCCTCCGCAATAGTTTCGTCTCTGGCCAAGACGTTAGGTATGTTCTATGGTAGATATCACAATCAACCGTTTTGATATTGTACATGATTTAAGGGCCGTTAAAATCCACTATATTCGTTACTCGTATCCCATTATATAACAGTGTCTCCTGATCTATGTCAAGTTCAAATGCTAATTTCACCAAAAAGCCCGAAAGTTTCTTATCAGAACGTTTCGTAACAAACGATAAACTTGCAGCGAGTGAGGGAATGGTACACGCGTCCCATTTCACCAGTCTCATGGCTGGATCTAAACTAACTAGTGTCCTGGACAAGACCTCTCCTATTGCTCTCCTTGGACTGGATCATACCAAGGTACCAGCTGTCATCAGCTGTTAAGTTTAAGTTTACCTTTTGTTGATTAATTGAAGAGAGGGTTATGTAAATGTATTTATACATATATAATTATAATTATTATGTTTATGTAAATGTTGTAAATGTTTGTAATGTTGTAAATGTATGTAAATGATAATTGTTGTTCAGGAGCTCCGGAAGTTGCCATACTCTGCGATACAACTTACGGAAATATACGAGTTTGCTAAGTTACTAGGTGGAGAGCCTTGCATCGTTCCTTTCCAAGCAGTCAAACTCTTCTACGCTAAAGAGGTCAGAACAGAGGACATTAAACACCATTTAATAATTATAACTCGTGCAAGTCCGAAATGGGCCGTGTGCTGCTTCTAGGAAGTACATATGACAGTGCATATCAGCACACTGTTGGCTTTCTTAGAGACCTGATGAGAACCAAGCGGAAATCATGATTGCCTGGTAAGCAAGTTCACACTCATTCCGAATGGCGGTAGACTTTACAGCTACACTGCAGCTTACACTGTAGTGGGAATCGCGTCACTGATATCCTCCGAGCATAATTACCAGGATAAATCCTGTACCAATCACAGCTTGGTGACCTGGCCTGCCTGCCTCAGACGGGGTTTGAGCCCCGGTCTTCCGCTTGGGAGGCGAGTGAATTACCACTACACCACCCGGCCGACAAAAACACCATTTAACATCTTTTTAACATCTTTTTAACATCACGTTTAAAACTTACTCTTGATATGTATATGATTACGACGTATTGGTTAGTGTGGCTAGACATTTAAAAACGCAATATTTGCAGTTTTAACATCGATTACATTATTGTGTTACAAATGAAAGTTAATACGAATTAACGTAGTTTGTACATGACTTAATAAAAAGTTGGTCAGTAAAGTCATAATCAGCTTCATTCTTGAAGAGAGATGTTAGTGGCCATATCTGCAGGTCGCTAAAGTTGGACAGTACAGCAAGGCACTACAGTATTTACAGCAAATATCAAACAACATTAATCTCTCAGCTAAATCATACAGAGCAAGGTAAGACTTTAAATATCACTTTTAACTAAAATTATAAGGGGTGCTATTCGTAGAATGTGATCAAAGTCATTTTAAGGAAAAGCTGAATCTCACGGCTAAATGATGACTGAATATATTTTAATTGGGTTGTTTCTCCCCAGTCCCCTAACAAAGACCCTCTCTCCCTCAGGTTTATAATGCGAGTATACGAAGAGTGTATAAGAATGGTACACCTGCTACACCGACCTATGCCTGACTGGGTGGAACATCTTAGAGATACTCTCACTAACAGGTTGGTGATTTTATCTTTCTCTTTCAGGGCTTATTTCTTGGAGCTTCGTAACCTGAAAATAGGACTGAGTTCAATTAGGGTGTTATGATCTTCCACACCTGAATGGAAGACAAAAATAAATGAAATTGACAAGATATCGCTTAATCATAACTTCATTAACATGTCAGATTACTAACATGTAGTTGTACACACAGGAACCTAGGTATAAGTAACAGGAGCACGGCGTACTCTAGTCGTGTGGCAACCCCCGACATCCAGCGTGTAGCACAGTACCTCTTACACAAGCAGAAACAAACTGTCCCTGCTTCACAGCTTGCGGAGCACCCTGCTTCACAGCTTTCGGAGCAGCCTGCTGAACAGCTATCTGCTGAACAGCCCGCTTCTCAACAGTCGACTGAATCGCTCGAGGTAAGTAAAGAGTCGCACTGTTTTTGTGACAAAATGTTAGAGCTTATTATAATTATACGTACATTACACGAAAAGGGCTTCTAAATGGTCCTGTTTTTCAAAATTCATCTTCAACCCCGTCCAATTTATCTTTTTTCTCTTTCAAATAGCATTGATATCTATGAGTACCGCCTGATTTCGAGCTCAATAAACTGTTTCAGACGCAACAGCAGAATGCAAAGCACCAGGAACTGTTAGATAACGGGCTAGTGTTTGATGGGCAAGTCTACAGACACACCATGTACCCAGGTCAGTACGCTTTGTGGTAGCACAGAGCAGACAGCAGCTTGTCACTTTTCAAGTGCTGCCATTTGCCAATCTTCTCTAGGTTGTGGGGTGTCAATTTATTTGAGGACTGTAGGGGAGAAATTTCCTAAATTGAATCTTGCTTAAATCTTATCACAGACGTATTACTTGTCACTACAACCCTGTAACTATACTGTAACCCTAGGTTATGTTTACTACGAAGGAGAATGGTATCCAGATACCACACAACAGGACACTACACAACAAACCGCTGATACTTCTACTCATCAATACGATCAAAGTGGTCAGTATACTCAGACTGGGGGGCAGTACGACCAAACAGGACAAATGGACCAGAGCGGACAACTGAATCAAAGTGGGCAACTAAATGAAAGCGGACATTATGAGAACGATGTATCGTCTAGCGAACAGCAGCATTATGATCCTGAGGGTGCTCCATATGATCCTTCTCAAGCCAGTTACGATTCCTCTCAGCAGAACAACGATCAGAGTCAGCAGAACAACGATCAGAGTCAGCAGAACTACGATCAGATTCATCAGAACTACGACCAAAGTCAGCAGAACTACGACAACACCCAACAAAACTACGACCAATCTCGGCAGAACTACAACGATCAAACTCAACCCAGCTATGATTCGTCTCAACTCAGCTACGATCCTTCCAGCCAGTACGATCCCGCTCAACAACCCGCCTACCCCAGCCAGTACGAGGCAGGTCCTCCACTCAACAGTTCCGAACCTGCTGATTGTCCCCCACCAACAACTGAATACTCTTCACCGACCACTGGTTACACCAGTAATGACGTCACAGCACCAAATGATGACGCCACAGAGACAGATGGTCAGAGCGCGCTGGGAGACAGCTCGTTCAATAGGGAGAGACAGGATACCCTCACAAATGAGGGAGAAGTGGAAGAGGCGGAGGAGGAACCCGCGCCTCCTCCACCGGGCGGCTTTGCTTTCTTCAACCCATCTCAGTTCAGGTTAGTTTTCTTTCGTTTTTTGCATGACGTTACTAACTCTAAGAAATTAAACTTCATAAACATAAATTTACGTAGATTTAATGTTGACGTCACTGAAATTTCCAATCGGTAACACAGCATATTTTCAGTGGAGGAAGCTTGATGGGCCCACCGACATTGCCACCTTTAGCACCGCCTGCTCCTTCAGAACAACTTTCACCGTACGACGAGGAGGTCAGTTAAACATTATAAACCACCTTTATTCTGTTCTGATTAATTAAGTTTACATGTTAATTATCATCCTAACTCTATGCTATGCAGCACTTTATGTATCAAGTTTTCTCTTCTTACAGATAAAAACACCTACAAACGACCCGGTTGAAGAAGACGAGGATAGCTTGTACAGCAAGAAGAAACCAGAAAAGAAGAAAGTGGAAGAGAAGAAAGAATCCGAACAGGTTTCAGTTTCTTCCAATTTGTTACCTTTGTTTGATTTCAGTAAGAACGCAGTGGGCTATGGGAATTGTTTCTGAATGAGTTTCTGATGTTTTTGATAACTAAGTTTTGGCTACATCCAAAATTAATATGAATGTAGAAACATTTGCATAATTCTTTGATTAATTAAGCTTATTTCAGTCAACGAGTCTATTTTCTCGATTATTCAAGGGCTCTGGGTCTGGACCGAAGAGCATGATCCTTCCTGATGATTCGAAACCGGCTATTCATTGGGATGAAGATCTCAGTACGTACTTAATTTTGTTAAATGAATTATTTTAAATAAATGTTGATGTATCTTTACCACTTGGCAACAGCAGAGTGAATCCCATCAATATTAATAACATTTGAACTAACCGAGTAACATATTATTCATCCTGAATTCCTATTGTACGTTTTAGTACGCTTATCTGATGATAAATTCTTAACACAAATTATCTAAACAGAGAAGTGGGTTGGAGGTTCTGATGATGAGGATGAGGCGCCGCCTCCCCCACCTATGAGTTCTCTTCCTCCTATGAGTTCTCTTCCTCCCTCTTCCAGATCATCAAGTAATTTACCTTGGGAGTGTTTATACTCACCTCTTCCTATCCCAGAATTATATTGATCGATATTTTGGTCTCGTTTAGTTGTCAATCACATTCCTCCACTGATTTTCAGGGAACTGAACCCACCACACCCTCCCCACAAGTCACAATCCCCCTCCCTCCACAACCCCCTTCCCCACCCTCTCCCTCCCCTCCCTCCCCCACCCCTCCCTCCACAACCCCCACTCCCTCCCCCACCCCTCCCTCCACAACCCCCTTCCCTACCCTCTCCCTCCCCTCCCTCCACAACCCCCACTCCCTCCCCCACCCCCTCCCCCACCCCCTCCCTTCACAACCCCCTTTCTCCACAACCCCCACCCCGGCCCCCTCCCCCCTCCCCGAACCAATTGCACTCCCCATACGCTGTGTATTTAATAACCTTAAGAAGTCTCTTAAAAAACCTATCCTACAGTTAGCGGAGCTTCAAACGATCTGGCTCATTCAGCTCCGGGTTCTCCTGGTGGCTCTTTTAGGAGGAAACCTGGACGTGGGAGATTAGGTTAGTTTAGAGCACTAAGAAATATGATCCCGGTCAGCCCTTGCTGAACAAATTGAATTTAAACTTGTTTAGCGTAAACTGTAACCCCTTATGTTTTAAATTATTTACTTTCATCAATATTTGCTATTTTCTCCCCAGGAAATAGATACGTCGACGTGGTTAAGGGTCAAGGGATGACGAAATCGGCAACAGCCCCCAACTTTAGATAGCTGCTGTTGAGGTTCTCTCTGGATACCTCTTAAATCCCCCTCTCCGCTCTGATTACATCTGATAAACCTTACCTGGTGAACCTTATCGGAATTTGGAGATTTTTTAAAACGGGGATTTCGTGTTTAAAAATTAGTGTTTCTATTGTAATAAGGACCATTAAATTTAGATTTAAAAGTTTTACCTTATTTATTTGAACTGGGAGCTGAAGTCTCTATTTGGTGTTGACTATTCGTTTATCAGAAGATTTGGAGCTTAATAAGTTATTGCCATTAGAACAAGCATCGGCTTACGGATTAATAGTATGTGTTTGAATCTTCAAAAAGTATATTTCAAATTCAAGGTTTTGTTAAGTCCAGGAATTATTTAACATGATAAATTATACGAGTTCTTTTAATTTAAATGCAGTCAATGTTTTACGATGGACATAGTCATACAAATCAAAATGCTCCCAATGCTGTAACTATATTGAATTTTGATGCTGTTTCGGCGCGTTCCCAGCAACAGATATTTTACATTCGAATAAAATGTTAAAATTTGAATATGCTATGGAACGCTCCGGAGATGTAGGCTTAGTCTGAATGCCTCATATTTAACTAAATAGATTTCCAAGGGTTATAATTGTAGTGTATAGTGATTATAGTATTTACTATTTAAATTGAAAACCATGGGATTATCTAATGAACTGAATCGTATTTAGTTTGACTTCGATCTGGTAAGTTTGAGGTTTTCTAGTCCTTATTGTTTCGGGCGAAAAATCTATTGGATAAATGCGAGATGCGCTTATGATAAGATTTTGATTTATGAAATAAATTCCGCGGCACAATGTTGTGGCTGGATCACATTATGTGCGGCGATATTGAGTTTTGTGGGATTGAAGCAAAGTAATTTGTGAATTTATTTTGATCCAGGAAATGTCAACTTTTGAGTGCCTTGTACAAAATGTTTCTACGTTGGGTGTAGAAATTTTGGATGAAATTTAATAACTTAATGTGAAAAGTTGAAATTGAAACGCCCATATTTGGACACGGAAAATTTAGTTGTCTGGTTAAACTTGAATTGCAACTATTATTCAGTTGTGTTAAATTTATGTTTACAATTTTGATTGTTCTGATTAGATGCTTTGATTTTATTTGTCTTTGAGTACCGCCTACGGTTGAGAATTCAGATCTATTTCATGATCAATGTCCCAAACTGTAACAAAATCGTCACAATAATAACCTTAAATACTGACCTCACTAATTGGTCACTGGTCAAAATTCAGCTTTAAAACTGTGAAATTTCGGTTAAGGAAACGGCAGAAGAGGTTATATAATAACAACTATTTCCTTTGTAACTGGTAACGCGGTTTTGTCAAGAACGGCGTATTTTATTAGCTATTAAAACTAAAAGCTTGATCGTTCATTTGGTATTCTGATATATAATAAAGTGACTTTCAAATTTTCTCAGCTCACAAAAAAATTCTTTAAGGGATCGATCTCCAAGAGGGTGCGGCCCATGAACGTCGGTTTTTCTGAAAATTAAGTTCGAAATTACTTTGAAACTGTTGGAATCTCAAGAATCTTTGTTAAAATTGTATGAGACTGCTGTCCCTCAATTCTTCAAATCTCCTCTTCCGCCGCTCACCAAAATAATTGGCCTCTATTGTTTTTCGATAGAATGATGACTAACAGGCGCTCGATCATGAGCCATGAGGGAATTGATCTTTATAAGTTTAAGAAGGTATTGTCATTGATCTATAGTCATACTCATATATAGAGGACCTATAGAAGTTCTTAAAGTTACAAATTGCTGCCATCTCAGGAATTTTTGTTGAAATTGTGTAAGACTGCTGTCCCTTAATTCCTCGCGTTTCTACATTTAGTTAATCATTAATGTTCACTCATGAGGCATGGTCCAACTAACTCCGACAGAGGTTTGAAATAATGACCATTGAGCTTTTCAATCAAAGGAGGATAACAAACCTTGTAGTTGTATAATGTACATTGTATAATGTATAATGTATATATTTATGATGTGGAGCCATACCAGATTAGAAGGGTTATCAGATTAGATAGGGTTATCAATGCTGTTAACGGGTGATACTTTGTTAACGGGTGATACTTTGGGTGATACTTTGTTCAAATATTACTATTAGACCGTCGATGAGTCCAACTCGGCGTGCGTCTTAGCTTGGTAGGTTATGAACCTACAAGAATGCTGTACTGGAATTCGAAGAACGACAAAGAGTTTTCTATAAATACTCACAAATATTTCACACAAAGTAATATCTTTTTACAAACCAGTTTGTGGAGATTCTGAAAAAAGACTGAATCGGTTCCTGGCTCTCAGTCTCCTCATTTCTAATAGTAATGTCTGTTTCAGAAGGAAACCTGGTCGTGGGAGATTATGTTAGTTTCGAGTACCATACGTACTTGTAGTACTAGTAAACCCGCGATGGGGTGGCATGTACCTCAATAGGATATAACAAACATTTATTACCTTATCGGACCTTATTTGGACGGACATTACTTGAACGGACATAATTATGAACGGACATTAATATGAACCCTAGAAGGCAATCAAAACCATCAAAAATCCTAATTTGTTTCAACTTATTTTTGACGTTTTTAAAATTTTTCATACACTAAGCAAGAAAAGCAGTCTATAATAAGTAAAAATGTTAAAATATGTGTACATGATCGTTATCTAATATCACATATCATCTTCATCAAATGGGTTTTCGTGCAGGGAGATATCCCGGTTTGTCTTCTACTTTATCGAGATGGGTGGTATGGTAGAAGGTATCGTAGCTGACATAAGCCACCGAAGGTCGCCTATACCAAGTGGGGAGCTAGAGATAAAGCTTAAGCTGTACTTTAGGCATTCAAGTATCTCTCTAGTAGAGCAGTTGGGATCGTTCATTGCCCGGTACGACTACGAGTTGGACAGACAACCAGTTGTAAAACAAAATGAGGTAGAAGAAGCCGAAGATCAACTTCAAGTGATCATGCAATAATGTGATATTTACAATTCAGATTGTTAAAATTTTATGATACCTTGTTTTTATTGATTCAACGATATAGTTTAGTTTAATGATAGCTATTGAAATTGACTGAAATTAAAAAGTTGTCATATTCTGGACAAAAAGTTCGAAATGGAAAAATTTTTGAAAAAATTTGAACGGACTTTAACTTGGACGGACATTAATTGAACGGACTTTATTTGAACGGACATTAACGTAAACGCTAGGGCCTCCAGCGTTCAAGTAATGTCCGTCCAAATAAGGTCCGATAAGGTATATCAATTTAATAATATCAATAACTTATGGTTGATCCTTCACACTTAGTAAATATCAAATTTGATCCCGATGATCATCCCTTGCTGTAATACAATGAGCAGATAGACATATTGAATATAAAATAGTTTTACTTTAGTACGCAATTATATTCTCCTCCGAGTGATAGGATTAGGTTGACTTGGTAAAAAGTAATTTTAAAAGGATTCATCACCCATGCACCGGCCAGAATCCAAATACCATGAATATTAATTATAATTCAGTGGCGCAACGTTATCAGTTATCGGTTATCCTTTTTAACGATCGCTATGTGGAATATGTGAATCAGAATGTGGAAAACGGTACTTTTTATTTCAGCTTAAAAAGTAAGCATTTCTATATCAAAGTTAGCACTTCTATAATATATGAATGATTAAGATCGTCGTAATATAACAGTGTCCAGTATGAGTAAACAGCTGAGCAGACTTACTAGAGGTAATCTGGGAGGGCGAGTGTGAACTCTGAGTCTGCTCTAACGACTGTGTGGCCACAGTATAAAGTTAGTCTTAATTTAAGTTTAGAACTCCAAGTGTGAGACAAAATATCGGTAAGTTGTAAGTACTCTGCCAACTTTGCAGTGGGATCTTTTGTCTCAATAAAAGCGATTAAGTTAAGTTGTAACAAAGAAGAGAAAATAACGAAATCTAAATAATAGTGTTATTAATATTATTAATAGTATACCTATAACTAAGGTAGAGACAGGAGCTCTAAGTCTAACAAACTAGGGACCGTGCCTAAACGAATTCCATTTCCAAGCGTCATTGGTGCCCGCGGAGTTGACAAGCCTATTTTTAGGTCCAAATTGGGGCGATTGCTGTTTTTCTGCTACAATTAGATTTAATGCCTAATGGGCTCATGAAATTTACAAAGCCGACCCGCCGGCTCTCGGGCTATAGTTTGTTAATGTTAGTGAGTCACACGTAGGTTTCATTAGCGATCTTTACTTTCAAGCAGGAAGATGAACAATTAATACGAACAAGTTTCATTGTTATAACGGAATTGGAATAAATAAGTTATTAAAACTGACCCAATATATATAATTAGCAAACTTCAAAAATTTACATCTACGGAGACTGAAAAAACAGCCATCACAACAATTGACAACTTTGCATTCAAAAGACGGTCTATCTAAAATATCTATCTGATAAAAAGAAATATCTACGCGAAGTTCACAACTTCCGTTGAAGGGAAAACAAAACAATTCATTCAACAACTATCTGGCTCATCATTATGATTAACTGATAATGATATATAAATAGAAGAATCAGGGCAAGAAAACTAAAATTGCAACATAAATTGCAACGAATTCAAATTAAATTTTGAGCAGGGATCCATACTATTACAATTTTTTTGTTGCTTCCATTTCCAAAATAATAGCTCGATCATCAAAGTTAGTTTAGTTTTACGTTCATAAAAGTCCCGTGCGTTCGCGAATAAATAAACAGTTGACTGTAATCTGATATCGATCACGAACAGCAACATAAATTGCCTGAGTGTATAAAACGGAAACTAGGCTATAACAGACTACGGAACCAATTCTTAAAAACATATTAGTTATTAGTTGGCAACTACTCAAATTATAACGATTATTATAAATTGAAGGTAATCCCAAATTCAGCTTGACAACAAAACACATCACAATCGTCTGGGTAAAAACACAAGTCAGACCAACAGTAATAAAATCTAAAAGCTCCTTCCTCTGAAACCAGAGATAATATAATAGTAAAAATAAAATCTAAGAAAAAACAAGAACAGCAAAAGAACTTAAAAACCAAGCTGGAGGAGCAAAGGCGCAAGATGAAAAGTTAAAAGTTAAAAACCAGTCCTTCATTTTCTCTCACAAGTTTGCAAGAAATGTATTGACATCAATGTTTTCTGAGTCCTCCGCGTCAGTGTCTTTGTGAAGCATAACAAACAGAGATTCAAGATTTCCGATATTTTCAATGTCAATGTTTAAATTCTGGCCGTTCTGACCGTTTTGACCGGTATTTTGGCCGTTATTCGGTCGATTTTGAGTAGCTGATGATTCAGAAGCAGCGTTCACTTGATTTGAATTAACAATAAGATCAGGTTTTTGGTCCTCGTTAACCTCCATAGGCTCGTGTTTTATGTACCCTGGACATTCTGAATCTTCTGCTTTTACAGTAGGCTCCTTTTTGACAACAGGTTCTATTGTCACAACCCCATCAATTCCCATGATCTCTAACGCTGGCATCACCGGAGAATTCATAACTTTCCTTGGTCTACCTAATTTCCGTTTAGGAGGTTTAATCTTGTTGATATGAGAAGCTTGTTTGAGAGGAGGTGGTGATGGTAACGGTTGTGGGGAGGCATGCTTTGGGTCAGGCTTCGGACTGGCCGGGCACTCTTTATCGCCTGGAACAGTATCCGACCACAGTTTGGTTTGCACTGCGCAGGTTGACGTGCATTTAGCGGCGATGACGTCAGGTGATAATTCTTGGAATTCTCCTCTCTTGATCGCTTCTTCCATCGACTTCAGGTATTTGGTTACTTCCTGTTGAAATACCTAGGTTAGAGACGGATTAGGTTCATTTGATTGGTTACTATGACAAATCTGTGATAGAAATGGGCTATTATTCAGCAAACAACATCATATATTTATGCAACCATTGATCTTTACACTAATTTTTCCGTCAAAAGCATCTGAATTGGCATTTATAGGCAAGGATTGAGTTAAGACATTTTAGATGAAGGCCACATAATATTTTATATTACGTTATTTGTTTAAAATAATGTTTTATACTTATGTGATGAATTTCTGGAACAATCCAGCTATAACCACAAGCTTGTGACATAATTTACAACGAGGATAATATGATAAATATAAATACAAGAGCCGAGAATAATCAAGTCTAACTAGTCAGTAATCTAAAGAATAGTATTAATAAAACTAAATAGCATTAATGAATAAGACGAAAGATAATTACCGTTGAAGGATCAGATAGTCCCTTCTGGACACCGTGCTGCTGTAGTTTCGTCAGAATCTCCCGGGTCATTACTTCCAGCAGCATGCTGTATTGCGGGTTAGCTGGGGATAGTTAGGTTAGCTCTCTCTCTCTCTCTCTCTCTAGAGGATTTAACTTTTTAATCAAGCGGGAATAGATCGAATAATAACAAATTGTAAGTAAATTTAAAAGAAATCTTGATATATATCAGACTTATCCGGAAGAATTTTACTAGATCAGGGTCCCGTTGACTTACCTTTGACTGCACTTAGAGAAACAGGCTTTATGATCGGAGTTTTGGGAGAGCCACGCGGTGTACCGGCAATCTCCGGACTTTCTCTCACTTTCTTTACAGGAATAGCCTGGAACATTCATTAGTTATTGAGTTTTATTTATTAATTATATTATTATTAATGAGTATCTCATTGAAACTTACTCGACACCTTCCGATAAATTTATATTTGTGCTCGAAATCTGTGAAAACTATATTTTGATTTTTCTATTTTAATTACGATTTTGTCGGTTCTTACCTTCTCCTTAAGAGTAGAGTTCTCGGAAGTTATGACAGGCGTGAGAGTTGTGGGAACAACTGAAGGAAGGGCCACCAACTTCGTCTTCTTCGTATCGTCTGTGGTCTTCTCCTTGGAAACGACCGTTACTGCAGCAACCGGCAACGGTTTCTCAACAGGCGGTGAGCTTCTGAAAGTAAACAATATTTAAACGCCTTTGTTCTCAATAATAGGTTTAACTAAAATATGAAGTCCTGTTTATAGCAATTTATATTATGCAAAATACAACACTCAATAGTAATACAATCGACTGCAAAAGTAGCAGAATTTCAAAGAGAGAACGTACCTGATAGTAACATTAACAGTGGTGGAATCTGCACTTTGTTTAGTTAAGGATTCATTCTGATTTACAGATCCAGCGGACACCGGATGAGGGACCTTGTTGGCTTGTGTCCTCCAGGGTATAGTGTTTGGTGGGAGGGAGGTACTTATAATGGATCTGGCATGATCTAGCGGATCACAGGAAGTATTTACTTGCTGTATTAACGGAGTCTTTACTCGTTTGTCGTCAGGTACTGGGATGGGACTGGGCATGGAGCGAGCGGTGATCTGTTTAGGCACAAACTGGGGGCCTAGAGGGGTAGCTGTGAGACTGATGTTCATGGGAATTGGCTGGGATATGCTCTGAGGAATACATGTTGGTGGTACAACCATCGCCTTTCCATCCTTCGGAGTAGTCAGCTGTGGAGCTTTGATTCTCAGCCTCGCTTCAAGAGCAAGCTTTCTCTGTTGTGCTATCATTAGTTTCCTAGCTCGTGCCTGTTCCTGTTGCTGTTGTTTCCTCATCACAGCTATTTGCTGCATCATGTTGGGTGACATTTGGTTCATGTTGGGCATACCATTCTGCTGCATCATCTGCGGCATGTACCTGACACTGTGGTTAGCGGGAGTAACAGGTTGAGGAGCAGGAAGTGAAACTGGCGGTCTCATGCCACGGGGCTGCATGTTCATCTGGAAGTTCTGCTGTTGTTGCTGCTGCTGTTGCTGCGCCTGCTGTTGCTGCTGCGCCTGCTGTTGTTGCTGTCGAAACATCATATGCTGTTGTTGCTGCTGCTGTTGCTGTTGTTGTTGCTGTTGTTGTTGTTGTTGTTGTTGTTGCTGTTGTTGTTGTTGCTGTTGTTGTTGTTGTTGTTGTTGCTGTAAAGCTGGTGGTGGCTGTTGTTGCGAATCGCTGTTAGACTGCTGCAATTGTTTCTGAAGGATATGAAGGTTGTTGAAGGGTACAGGAGCCGTTGGATGGCTCGGTAAACTAACTGGACCCATAGGATTAGCGCCGGGTAACAAGGAGTTGTTCATCCCAGGGTTGCCTAGTTGTGCCTGATTCTGTTGTTGCTGCTGCTGCTGCTGTTCCATCAGCAACATCTGAAGTTTAGATTTGGTCTGGAGCAGTTCCAGCTGAAGTTTTTTGTCGTTCATTTGCTCAAGTATCTGCTGCTGTAACCGACCACCAGGTCCTGGCGCCTGCAAAAAGACAGTTGAAACATATTAATAATACATTATTATTATCAATACAATATTATTATCAATACTCGTCAAAAGGCTTGTATCTATCTGACCACCCGGCAAGGTTCACTAGGGTTTGTGGTTCATCATTTTGTCTATTTTATTGGCCACAGGATTCATCTTAGAGAACAAATAATATACAGTGTTTGAAGATAAAATATGTACCTGAGCGTTCCAGTTAGTGTGCGGCATATTATTGTAGTTAGGAATCATGATGTTTGGCCTGACCATGGGCCCAGAATCTGCCATGCTGTTATTCATGTTCGTCTGGTTCATCATGCTCGGCAGGTTTGGGTTCTGTCCCAGCATAGTGTTAAGCTGGTTTATCTGATGGGAGAGCTGCTGTTTCAGCTGCATCATAGAGTTTAGATCATCTACTGGCATCTGGAAGAAGGAAAAGTTATAAATTTAAATGTTCACTCTTAAAATAAAAGGGACCGACAGACATGGAAAAAACCCGTGGAATGTGGATATCGCATATCAATGATATGAATATGCGGCCCCGTAATTATATTAGTTATCACAGTTTCGTAACTTGGGTTGCGTTATTTGGGACTTTTGGATAATCCAAAATAATCTCTTCTAATAATAATAATAATTCACCCATTATTTACAGTACAACATCCCTACTATAATTCAGAGAATTCTTTCTGTTGTTGTATGTACGACCGCCCACGTGCAAATTAGATGAAAAAGAGGAATTTAGGTAACAACCAAAAGGTTCCATAGCAACGGTGTTTTAATGCACACATGCACGTGCAAAGATTGTTTTAACGTCATTTTGATCGGTTTTGTGCTAATTACGTTGTGTTTATAGTGTTTTATATTTAAATCGGCTGTATCTTCGGTTGAGATGGATATTTTTTGATGCGATTAAAACTTTCTTTCAAAGAATACTACTTAGCTTCGTCCCTGTTACCACGGGCTTTCTAGTATTATTATAACACAGAGTTAAGACGCTTTCATTTATGTGACTCATAAAAATAAACGCAATTTTCATCAACATCATCAAAACCGTGGTCGAAGAGTGTCGAAGAGTTCAACAAAGGTTATCCAGCTTAAATATTCTCAATTTAAAGACTATTACGGTTACTGTTCTGTGTTCAAAAACGGTTCACATTGAAAATTGAGTACTGATCATATATAATGTATTATATGATAATATTATGAGTATCGTGTACAATAAAATAGGAATATTTAGACGCCGCTAGATAGGGACACTGGATAACAGAACGGACGGTCATTATTTATTCATATACAACAACATAAAAAAGTGCAAACGTTTTACAAGATCGCGATATTGTGTTTAAGCAATTTATAAAGAGTTTAAAACTTTGGGGGTGTTATCGCCGTTGTAACCATCGAAATTTGTTCCGTCAGAGAAATTGGCGAATGTAGAAATCGTTTTTTGTGCTTTCACAAGACTGAAATTCGAATCTAGCGAAAATAACCTTTCGCAATTTATCATATAGTTGCGAAAATGGCGAAAGGTTGCTATTTTCGTCACGACAAATTTTACATCTTCATGGCAGTATGACGAAAGAACATTAACAGCTTTATTTACTTGTGACGAAAATGGCGAAAACCCAACGTTTTTCAAGTCAATAACGAATGGCGAAAACACCTCCAAAGTTTCAGAAAACTACAAACGATAAAAGCAACAGAAAATAAAAATCCAAGGGTGACAACGAAATAAAAGCGCTTACTTGAAAATTATTGTTGTACATGCTGTCTTGAGGTAATGCTGAATGTTTTGGACACTGCGGAGAAAATTATCACGATTAATAAAAACGTAAATTTAATTCTGCTGTATAATTTTAAACATAATGTTGCGTGATATTGTGTTGGTATTGTTTTAACCAGCGCTGTGCCCATAAATCAACATCCGGCAGCCTCCGGAGGCAGCACAGGTGAACTTGGTGAGCATGTTAAATTCTATTTGATCACACATTATAAAAACAACAGCAGCAGATGAGTTTCCCGGGCATAACAACATAAGTTGGGTAGAGGTGGGCCACATCCGTGTTGTGTTTGTCAGGTAGAGGTGCTCACTTTCTATTTAGGCGGATTGTTTGTTTAGGCGACGGAATATACAGGCAGATTGGAGGAAGTGTACGTGTGTTATTCATGAGATCAAGCCGAAAGTTTACATACCAGATTTACAGTTGTTTGCTCATGGTAGTTTTTTAGCAGTTATTTATGCACGATAAATGCCAATTAGTTTAAGTAATTAGCAATTAGTTTAAGGTATAAACCGGAAAAAACATTCAGCTTTCAGCAGATAACTCAAAAATTGTATCAAAACAGCAGAAACTGCAGCACAGCGAAGCGCTACGAGGACGGTACAGTAACTTTTAAAAGAACAATGAAGTCTACAACAATATAAATGTTTCAAACACCAGCAAAAATTCCTGAAAAGAGCAATTAAAGTTGTAGGTATGACTATGGGCAACAAATAAAACCGCATGAAAAACCCTCAAAATAGATGATTAAAATGTTGGAATAATGGAAGGTCTGGAAGTTTCCTAACTTGAAAGTGTGAAATTAATTCCTAGATCTTATGTTGTAAACCAGCGAAACAAAGACACACATAACGTCGAGTACACAATATACTTATGTGACTGTGAAAACGAGCTGAATTTGATGTTGATGGAAAGTTGAAGACGAGAACTTTTAGATACACAAATCTAATGTACAATGTAAACACACAAAAAACAGTTTTTCTGTAGAGGAAAAATTTCTTGAATACATGGTTATACCAGTGTTGGGTTGGACAGATAATCGTAATATACCAGAGTAACAAAAAGGATGTAATCCGAGGATAATGTTAAATATAAAATCCGAGCTTTAAAAAGAATTTTCGTGACGTAACTTTTTCACGAAAGAAAAACTTAGATGAACATTTTCGAGTTATTCAATTATCATATCAATTACTGCTAAATTTCAATCTATCGTACAGTATAATTGGAAGCACAATTAAAGGCTTCGAACTGCACAGATCAGTTTTTTTATCGATGCGTGAGAAACGAAGATCTTTACTTAGAGTGGTTCCGAAATTAAATTTAAATGTATCGATTTTCGCGACTAAAATTTTCGTAGTTACGGTAGTATCGGAACATACAAGTGAGGGTCTATGAGTAATAACTTTGACCGTTGTTTAATTTAAGTTGTTTCCAGTCACATAGATTGAATAATTGAAAACAAATCTGTAATCAACCGACGATTAAGGTTTTTTCGACACATAACAACAATCAAACAACGAGCAATCAGCATGCAAAAGCAACCTATCAGAGAAAAACAGCATCCACATGTAAAATGCCTCTCAGCGATAGATAAAAACATCACAACTATTATCAAAGAATTTGCTAATTAACATGAACGTATCGGTTTTGTAAAGTAATTAATTAATTAATTAATTCCTCACCTTTTTGTTTTGTGAGGCGCAGTATGACTGGCAATTTCTCATATCTCGCTCAGAAGAGTCGACGAGTAGAGTGGGAGAGGTGAAGGTACGTCACTTTCTAACCATCCTCATCATCATCAGTAACCTAGCAAGTTGTGAGTTGTTAGTAAAGCAATGAGGTTAATTAACTAATCAGGTAATGAAGTTAATTAATTGATCAGATGATGAGGTTAATTATCTAATTAAGTAGTGAGATCAATAGAAATAATCACATTGTGATACTGATCAATTAAAAAGTATTTCTTATAGTTAATGAGGTCGATAACATTTTAGAATGCATAATATATCAATATACAACTTTTTTAGTTCGAGCATCCCCCCGCACACCCCCCCACCCCCTCCCCCTCTCCAAGATTGGTTAACTTTTTACGATAATTTGGCTTCAGAGAACTGGTTATACTTTGTATGTACATTGTATTGCGATATACATATTATATTATTTTGTCATATGCCATAATGCCACTGTCCTTTCACAACTGAACTAACGAAGAATTAGAACGAAACAAATATTCACAAACACTTAGGTATATCACAAGTGTTCCTGTAATAACTTATAATAACTATAAAAGTAAAAATAATTAGCTAGATCTATGATGATCGTGAAAAATGTTTGAAAAGAGGAAAATTTTCCTCCGAAAAAGAAGCACATTACACTCTTGAGAGGTGTAGAAGAAGTGCCTCAATAAAAGAGCGTATAAGTAAACGAGCACAGGAAGAGTGTTGAGATTGAAGGAATTAAATTTTATGAGCATGGAATACTGCGGTCACGTTAGAAGAACTATATCAGTTGATGTATTGAGAAATGAGTCCAGTATTGAGACGTGCGAGATAATCAGATAAAGGTAAAGTGAGAGTTTAGTGAAAACTCTGCAATGAATAACGAGGCTGGGATTACACTTAATGTGAAGGTAAACTATTTACAACTGTTTAACCTTACATGGTTGTAATATGAATACATAGATATTCTATACTATATTTTGTTTAATTTCACGGTTTAGCCTGCATTTACTTAAAGAGTAAGTGTGGCCTACTGAATTTGAACAGAGTAATTGGCCTCAGCTGCTTTTACTTGTGCGTCAAAATACCTAGGACTTAATCTTTTTATTTTTGTCATCTGTTTTCCTCTCTATTTATATTCAGGTAAAAGAATTGTTTCGGTTCAAATTTTTAACATCCAGATTTTATCCTCACCCCGTGTCAGGATCAAAATACAGCCGATATACAAAGCTCCTTTACTTACAAATCTAAACATAATACAACAACACTGCTACAAAACCAAGTTTTAAACTAATTACAACACAAATTTAAAGTAATTACAACACTACAAATCTATTATATTTATTGAGTATTATGTAACGGGATGGAAACTTTTTAACCAGATGTAGCTAGTCCACACCCCAACTCCATAATATAAAGAAGTTTTTCCCTTCTAGATGAAAAGCTCTAATATAAAATACAAAATAGATACAGATAAAGAGAACCAAAACTATCTTCAAGAACAAATAGAACCGAAAAGTGTCAGTTTTGTCAAGTTATGCCTTCTCTCTTCACCTACCTTCTCCAATTTATAAACATGTAGGTGCGAGACTTGGCAGAGCGATGGTTTATATAACCTTATATGGTCATTGGCATAAACTTATATGGTCATTGGCACTTGTCCCCCGAAAACGAAACTTAGCACGTATACTATAGAGACTAGTCACTAAAGTGATCCATCAAAATCTAATGAACATGTTATAGTGTTATACGTTATACAGTTCACTGATGCGGGCTTTATGTTAAAGTCACTATTGTGACGGTACATTAGAACCATCGTATAAACTTTTATACGATGACTGATATACACAGAGGCAGCATATAGTAATTATAGGTGCGGTAAAAATTTTTAAATAGTGCAATCCCGCACTTGCCTAAAATTATTTGTTGTGTAGCAAATTTGGAGGGAAAAATATCGCGATTTAATACTTAAACCTTTAATATTTGCACAAATAACCTCAATACTCTTTCTAGAACATTTTAAAATTAAACTTCAGATTAAAGTAAAACACTGTGCATCAGAATACACTGCACGTACGAGGCAAGATAAACGCGGGGAGATTTAGAAACGTAACATATTTTCGAAAAAAAAGTAAACGAGGAGGAACGTTGAGACACGAGGGTCCAGCTATCTTTGCTAACATACACTACTGCTCCAGGGACATTGAGCCTCTGGGACGACGTGCGGTATTAGGTCAATAGTGCGATTCTGCACCGACCGCACTTATATATGTTGCCTCTATAACTGATAGACGGAACAGAAACTCAGTGAGTCTGTCAGTCTGCTCCTTCAAAACGTAAATTAATCAATGTGGTCAGGAAGCAACACTTGTAATCTATACAGCTATCCGTAAAGTACGTGCAAACGTGTTTAAGTTTACAGTTTAAGAGTTTTACAGTGATCAGTACTGCTGCAAACAGAGGAAAGCTGGAATTTTTACCAAATAAGTACTTCAAGTATTGGCTAATAAATATCTCGAGTAAGCACCAAGCAACAATTTACAGCTGCATCAGAATAATCAGATCTAAACAAGTCAACAAAAACCCAACCTAAGTGTAGGCACAATGTAAGTTATACAATCGAGCAACGAAGAAAAAACAAATTATTAGCCTAAAGGACTCTCCTTTGCTTTGGAAATGATGCAGAAACTGATAGAGGCGTCGAGGAAATCTAATTGGGTAGAAGTGTACACACACAAACACAGAATAGCAGATTATGAGGCATATACCCTCACTACTGCCAGACCAAAAGTACTTGTACTAAGACCTGCGTCCCTAACCAATGATCAAGCCACTGTTTGATGCAGGGGCCTGATTTATGTCCTTACTTTATCCTCTTTTCAAGTCCTGTTTAATGTTTTAAATAGAGGCTTAACATATATTAATATTAGGTTCTTATATGAGAGACGGAACATTAGAAACAAGCTATACCTGCCTCATAACCACGCGTATAAGCAAGGGGAGTACGCTATAGTCACGAGAACAATGATAAAATCCTTTAGTCCTCGGTTAGTGCTTGAGAGTCGGGAGGTCACGTGGTCAGTTCATCATGGAATACCTCCATCTCGGAACACACTCGCCTACCTAACACACAAAATAACATATAAGATGTATTGAGGCCTGCCTCGCCGCTTATTGGCTGTCCGAGATCATCCCGGCTTTTCATTGGTCCGTACGGTACGCCAGGTGGTACGCAGTGATAGAGACTAAACAACCACACGAAGCAACGTGCACTTCCCAAGAAAGGAACATAGCTGGAGCATCCGGCGCATCTGCACTTTGCTCTTGTGACTACCTTGAGTGTGAGGCAATGTTCAAACAAAGGCAACACAGAGTGCCCACACCGTCCGGTGCGGTCGCCTCCCCTTCGTTAGTCGGTTACACCAGATTGGGAATCTTGAAGAGATGCAGATGAGGACTGCTTGGGAGTAGAGAGGTTGTAAGTGAGGAGGAAGTGAGGAAGAAGGGGGTCGGGTGGGTTGGTTTGAGCGATCCACGGAAGTTTATTTGCTGGTCGGTACTCATGGGAATGCGGGGTACTAACCCGGTGTGGATATAAGTATATTATAACCGCAGCCTCTTCAAACGGTGTGCTTTCATAATAAGATCATTCACTAGTGAAGTAAATGGTATTAAAAGCTCGCGATATATCTTAATTTAGTGATATTTAGTTGAACAGCGATGGAAGTGCCTGATATGTGATGGGTCCAACTAACACATGAGGCTAAGGAGCGAAGACAAAAGTTTTACTTCATTGAGATGGTTAGTGGAGTGTAGGAAGAAGTACGAGAGAGTCGCGTGTGACGGACGAGACGGACGTGACGGACGAGAGAAGTGACGGACGTTAAAGAAGACACGAAGGCAGTAATTTTGCTTTGCTTTGTTGCTCTTGCAGCGTTGAAATACAATTAAATACTCGTATAATTTGTGTATCCAATATCTGCATGCCTTTAGAATTTGAATGATTAAACTTGAACGCACTGAAAGATTTGTTGAGTGATCAAACAAAAATATAGTAGTATAGACTGGCTGTGCAAACAAAGGGAACTGACTTTCTTAACAATACAACAATCTGTTCCAGAGTACTGTAGGGCGCAAATATACCGACTAATAGCGAGGACAAATTAAAAGTACTCCACTTCTGCTTATTTGTTGACCACTCACATGACCAAAACAACCAACCTTTATCACGAATTCAGGACTCGCCAATTATCTGAACAATACGTGGCAATTTATCCGGTCGTCAGAGCAGACGGCGGACAAAAGAGGCTTAATTAAGCTAATCTAGTAAATTGAATGAAACTAAATTGGAAGTCTGGTCGAATCTTTTATCTTGCTAAACAGGCTACTGACCATGGCCATTGTCAATGGATATTGTCCAGCCCAGCTAAAAAGAATATGACAGGATATAATTCAGTCAATGGTTGAAGGATTAAGATAGTGTCGCTTGTGGGAGAGTGGTAGTGGCGGCTACCATTATGCCTTCTTCTCACGGATCATATGTGTCATTGTGGAGCACGTTCTGTGGACATATCATTAGTAGGATATTATCATTTTTACCCGTTTGAGCCTATTGTTATGTGTTGCTGAAGAAATAATAATATAATTGGTTCTGTTGGATCAGATCTCACTCCTATTATTAGACCAATTACGAAAGAAATAATACAGAGCATCAGAGAGGTACTCAACACGTTTGAAGTGCTAAATATGCAGTCAAAGTTAGATTAAGCCTTGACAACGCCACTCGCCATTAAACTGATAACACTAATTAAAAAGTCCGATGACCTACTTGGGTATTTTACTGCTTTACATATAATTCTAAGATTAATTTCCTGTTTAACAAATAAACAATGAAACGCTTCGGTGAAAAGTAAAACAAATAAGCCTTATATGAGCAATGGGCATTGTCATTTTTAGGCAGGATTAAATTTGCCCGAAAAATAATCAAACCCAAATGACAAATTGGCAACCCTGCACAAGCTCTAAATTGTTAAAGGAACTTTTACGTGTTCAGTGTGCTATGTTAAGCTTTTAATTAAACTGATAAAC